GCGGCGGTAGAGAAGACCTGGCCCTGCAGCCGGAACAGATTAAATGGTTTTCAATGCATTCCTATGGGAAATGGAGCTTTTACTTACAAATGTTTCAACTAACGAACATCATCTGGCATGGATTAAGTTCGTAAGCAGAGGTTCCACTGTACCTGCCCAAAGCCTATTTGGTATCTACATCTCCACTGCCCTACTGAATGATCTGAAGTTGTGAGAAATCATGAACTCTGGATCAAGAGGGCCAGGGAACATGCAATACCTAGACCCCTTACTTAACAGGAAATTTAAGGTGACCTCCTAAAATACGGGTGGGGAATCTTTTTGCTTCCCTTCCCTTAAGGGGATTCTGCTGGGAGGCAAAAGCCAATAACAGGCAGGGTCAGAACTAAAAGTAAGGGGCGTCTTTTTTCTCTCTGCTTTTCCAGTTCTCTCTCTCTTTCCACTATCCCCTCTACCTGTTGATTGCAGCCCAGCAAGGCGGCCAAAGCTATCTCCATCCCATAGCTAGGCCTGAAGCCAGTTTGAGAAGGGTCTAAATAATACATTTTATCCAGGAATCCTTGGGGCCCGAGAAAACCACATGCTCCAGCACTTTATCTAGAAATATAATATCTGAGACTGGCTGATAGTTGTCCAGTAAAGTGGGATTCAAGGACGGGAGGTCCCCTCCCCCCCATAATGGTCTTATTACTGCCTTCTTTAAACATGCTGGGATCCCAAATTGCTGCAAGGAGGCACTCACTACTCCACTTACTCACTTGGTCATCCCCCCTCTGGCTGTTTTTATAAGCCAGGAGAGGCAAGGGTCTGGCATACATGCATTGGCTTTTCATCCCTCCAAGAATCCTGTCCACATCCTTAAGCTGCACCAATTGAGATGTATCCATTATAATGGGACAAGCAGGAACCAAATTCGTCACAAGAGGTTGCTGTGGTCAACTTCTTGTTGTTTTGGTGGGGCACGTATTAATCCCCTGGCCACTTGAAACAACTCTGCTGGATGATTCTGTGCAGATGTAAAGCGGAAGAATTATTTCTTCACTCTGGCCAGCACCACAGAATACGCCTTCAAATGAACTCTAGCCCAAGTTCAGTCAGATTGGTTCTGAGTTTTCTGCCATTGTCACTTTAGTTTCCATCCCATGTGTTTCATCACTGCCAGCTCCCTGGTAAACCAGGGGACTCATCTGGCTTGACTCCATGGGAGAGGAAGCTTAGGAGTGATTCTGTCCACAGCTCTGACAATTTGCCCATTCCCCAGAGGTCAATCAGGGCTTCAACAGGAGTGGATCATCCTGATCAGCCCCCACCCCCACCCCTGCAGAGGTTGTGAGTTCCAGTAAGTCTAAACCCCACCAGTTAGTGATTTGTCCATGAGAACAGAACAATAAAGAGTTCCTCCACATCCATGATCACCAGCGCAGAAGACGAGGTCCAGAGTGTGCCCTGCCATCTGAATGGGGTCAAATATCACTTAGGACAGAACCATGGTCATCATGGAGGACCTAAGTCCTGATAATGTGGCCTCGGCATGGATGTTGAAGTCCCCCAGTACTGCAAGTCTAGAGGATTCCAGCAGTACCTCCGACACCAACTCAGGAAGGGCTGAGGGACCTGGGCTTGGAGAGGTTCAACTTTCTAAATTCTAATCTCATCAAGGCTTTTTCTTCCCAGCCTTGATTTTTTTTTTTTAAACAAATCCACTTGTATGAACTGTGTCAGAGCCGTACAGCCCGAAGCCTCTATGGGAAATAAATTCCATTAGTTAAGAATCATACTTATGCCCAAGGCCTGACAGACCATGTGACTTGAGCTTCATCATTAGTTTGTTTATACTAACCCAGCTGAGCTGCTTATATCTCCACGTGAAAATCGTCACATTTTGAATTTATCGACTCTAGCTTTGGAAACCATTTTTTTTTAGTAGTATGGAATTGTGCAATCAATTTATCCAGTTTGATGAAAGAGTTGGGTAGCAGCTGTTATGGAGGCAGTTCACTTAACACGTGGTAAGGAAGAAACTAAAGAGGTCACATGAAGGAAAGGGGAAAACCACACAGCTTTGATTACTACTATTACAGCTGACAAAAGACCGAACACTCCCCTTTTCAACCTAAAGCAAGAGTGGGGAATCTCCATCTCCATCTGGTCAACAAGTGTCATTTTCTGTTATCTCAGATTAGTGAGTCAAGTCTCCTCTGACTCATGATGCCTTTATGAATGAGTGACCTCCAAAATGTCCTATCATTAATAGCCATGCCCAACTCTTGCAAACTTAAGGTTGTGGCTTCCCTTATGGAGTCAATCACGTTTGAACTTCCTCTTTTCCTCCACACTTGAACAGGTCTTAGTCTACATGCTAAACGATAATCAGTGCTCCGAAGTGCTACATATGCCTTTGGACAGTCTCATTGAAATGACATATAAAGATTTTTCAGACAGAAATTTATTCCTGGTTTTCCTCCAAGCTTTCTTTAATAGCCTACACAAAAAAGGGGGGGGGGGGAAGAGCCTTTCATTTATGCTATTGTTAAATAACCGGCAATCAGAAACCCTTTCAAATCTGGGAATTATCCAAATATCTCCCAGTAGGTATGTCTTCCTCTTTTACCTTTTGCCTGTCTTTGCACTACACTGTAGTGGTTCTAGGCTCACTCAAGGTGTGGCTAGTATAGGCTAGTGGACTTGATTTCAATTCTAAAAACTGGAGCACGCTCTGATCAATTGATGCCAATGCATCTCAGTTAGGGGTTTCCACTAACTGAGCAAGCTCTTTCTACTCAAAGGACATGCGGTGAACTGCTTTAGACAGCATATGTTTGTAAGGGATTACGTGCTGCAAAGCAGGAGGGCAAAAACAGAGAAGAAGAAAATCCATTACATGGCCGCAAACATTAGATCCTGCCTGAAATCGCTCAAGATCCTGACCTTTTTTTATTAACTGCCCAACGAAGAGCTTAACAATTCTTCTAGCTGTAATCATGGAGAACAGAATTTACTTTATATCGTGATTTGTGGCAGTTCACTAGCCAACAAGCTAAACAAATAGATTTCTACTGCCTGTTGCTCAGCAGCTAGGCTATCATCAACATGCCAGAAACTGGGCCTGTATGCTGAGTGGAAGGGGAGAGACAACTATGTACACACATGATCAAAGGGGTAAGATGCAAGAAATATTGCCAGAGCTTGAAAATTTTTACTCTTTTGGACCACAACTCCCAGAATTCCTCAGCTTAATATAGGCAGCTAGCAATTGGTGTGTGTGTGTGTGTGTGTGTGCGCGCGTGCGTGCGTGCGTGCGTGCGTGTGTGAGAACTTTCCAAAAAGAAAAAAGAACTCTTCAGACTGTGAATATGGCTTAGAAACCAGACTACAGTTTCTTATAGGTAAACATAGTTAGCAACAGGAAAAACAAATATATACATCCCCAGTTACTGCAACCAAGCTTCTGAAGTTCTGTATGGTGTTTCTATGTGTTTGAAAAAAAATATTTGAATAACTTCACCTAACAATAACAGCATAATGTGTTCTAAGCCAACTACCTGGACTCTGATAAAATATGACAGTGTACTGAAGGCAAATACCATGGTGCTTTATAAGACATCCTCTACTGCATAGGTGCTGCCTTCAAACTTGAAGTGTACTGTCCATAAAGGATAAGAACATGGGCCTCTAAATCCAATGGGATTTGCCCTCACATCAGTTTTTCTCAAGCTGGAAGAGGCAGAGAATGTGCAATGTTTTATGTCTTACTAGAAATAAACCTATAAATGGTAAGTGTTGAAAGTCTCCTAAAGAATAGTGTTACTAGATGGAGAAGCACAGAGATTGTTTTGAAAGAGTTGAGCTGACAATCTGTGTGATGAGATATCCTTACACTGATGATGAAGTTGCACAGAGGGCAAAAGTATCAAAAGTGGAAATCTATTTTCTTTACATTTTAAGGTGAACCGATTTAATGCACACCTCCCAAATCAATATGCAAAACATAAGACAATCATTTTTTCCAGATTCATCCTTTTCTTAAATTCTGCAATACAGTTCTTCAATTTTAAAAAAAAATTAATGGAAAATTACACTGTTGTTAAAACTGTTTGCAAAATGTCTATTTTGAGCAAAAAGGTATAACATTTCTATTAGGATAAATGTGTGTGAAGAAAAAAATGTGTGTGACTTCTGTATGCTTTTTTTAAAAATTGCAAATGGACACAGGTGAGAATGAAGCAAACTTAAGGCTGGGGAAATGAGTCACAGAAATTGACAGATTCATCCATTTCCCAGGCAAGCAGAAAAAAAAAAGAACTCTATGAATGTGAGAGCTGGGAGGAATAGACAATGATTTTTTCCAAGTGGAAGGAGAGAAATCAATAAGTGTATATCTACAATTTTACCAAGCTCTGCGAAGAGGGAGGAAAAGAACAGAAAAAAATCACAGTGATAATAATGATTGATATATTTAACTATACAAAAGAAAAAGATATTCAGGATTTGTAAATAGTACCTCTCATTTTCAGAACCCTGAAAGTAAGTATTTTCAGACAGCATAAAGGAATTTCATAAATTACACCTTTTTTCATAAAGATGGAATCAATACAAATCAATTGCACTTGGGAACATGTAACCAAATTATTGCTAGCTTTCTAAAAAAAGGTATGCATCCATATTCCCTAATCAATACATATTATTATTATTTTTAAAATAAAGCTATTATATAAAAATAGAATGTTTAATAAGAAACTGACTAGTTATATTTCAAATAGTAGAAAATATGGTTTGGGGTGCTTTGTTAGTGACCAAGATGCTCATCTGCTATAATGTAGGTTAAATGTGCAATATAAAACACACACACACACTATGCAATACCTTTCAGTTTTGTCTCAACTTGTCTTATTCCCTTTTAAGTTATTTGAAAAACAAACTCCAAGCAAACTACAGATGCAACATACAGATTTAAACTGGCTCCCACATGGATTATGCAGCCTGCCCCACTATACACTTACCTGTTACTGAAGCCAAAATTATGTTTCAAATTGTGTTAAGAGGTCTCTTATTTCTGGTGTCAGATGTTCAACTGCCTTGGCAGCTTCTGTAATAGCTTTCCTATACATCCCTTTCTTCTTACGATTAAATCGCAATTTGAAATATTCAGAGAAAGGGGAGAGTTTTGAGAGTGACAAGAAAGACGTTGTTGGAGAACCAAACCATGATACTTTTGCTTCCTGCCAAGAAGGGTCTCCATTTTCCTTCTGGCTAAGATTTATGTCAAGTACTCGGGCCGGCCACCAAGGGAACCCATGAATTTTGCCCCAAACGATGTCTCCCACGGAAATAGTTCTTCCATCTTCTGTGACACATTTGGAGACACTTTGTGTGTGCAGTCTAACGGTTAAAGGGGGCACAATTTTACGTTCATCTTTTGAGGAAGAAGACACAGATGCATCATCACCAGGTAAAAAGTCACACAATTCTGGTGATGTTATTTCTGAGCTAGAAGAAGACTTTGATTCATCAAGGCTGTCATTGCTACACACGGATAAGCTTGAAGAATCAGCTTTCCTTTTATGGTACTTCATAAGGAAAGCCAAGTTATCATGTCCACCTTTACTTTGAGGAAACCTCTTGAAGTCATCATCTTCACAGGAGCTTCCTGAAGACATCTCAGCTAAACTCCTGTCAGCAGACTCATCAGTATAAAACCCAGATGCAGCAGCAGCAGCAGCACGAGACTCTCTGCCTCTAGGAAGGACATTCATCTCATCAATAAGTTCTGCTTTGTAAATTGAAACACTATCCCCGTCGTTCAGCCGATGGGGCTTAAGCCGGATTTTTGGAGGTGGCACGTCTATGCTGGAATGCACAGGCCTGGTTAATTTTAACTTTGGAATGGAAGCAAGGTGGCCACTTGCTGACTTGTCCATAAAGCATTTCGACTCCTGATATTGTTCGGAGTCTCTAGTTTCCTCTTGGTCCTCCTCCCCATTCTGCAATAGTCGCTGAGGGCAAAATGACTTCCCCGAGCCATGGACACGAGAGGGAATTTTCACCACTTCTCCTTTGCCTTGTGGGGTGCTGTAAGATATTTTTATAACTGGGGTCCGATGCAACAGCTCACCAGAAAACTTCTCTTCTTCCCTCTTCTCTCTTTTGCTTCTCTTCTCCACAAAATCAGATTCACTGTGTCTCTTCTGCTCCTTGTCCTGAATGCTAAGCTTCCTCCTGGTCTTTGCATTCTGCCCGGCTGCATTACTCTCCTCTGGATTCAATGTGTTTTTACATTTTTCACAAAGTACTTGCCTTGGCCGCAGTCTAATGGTGCTCATGATGAGCCTGCCTGGGTCTCTATTTCGGGACAAGCGCCTCTTCGTTCTTTTTATAGTCCGTGGAGGTGGCTGAGGTACCCACTGATTATATGTGTGCCTTAACCATAATGGAGGGGGGAAAGGGGCTCCCTCAAAATAGGGAGGGTAAGGAAGAACAGCGCCAGATGGGGGTGGAGGCAAAAGGGGAGGAACTTGCTCCTCGCCATTAGCTCCTGAAGACTTCTCTTCCCAAGACCATGGTTTGCTTTCCAGCTTTCCAGCTGTACAGTCTTCAGGCTTCCCGTTAGTGCAAGTTTTAGGAGGTGGGTCATCCATCTTTGGTAATGAAGGTGGTGGAACACAGAGCAGCCCAGATCTAGAGAAATCATGAAAGAAAGTGGAAGAAGGACAAGATTAGAACCAGATTTAATTGTGCTTTGCATCAAAATTATATGGGCAAAACTAAGCTTAAACACTTTGAGTGTGGTCCAATGGAGAATGGAATTTGAAGGACTCATTCTATAACCCTGAAGCAACATCGCCTCCTCCATTTGCGTATTTTAGAAAGGTGATGTATTCTTTATATGCTGAGCCCAACCCAAGGTGTGTGCTAGAGATTCTCCTCATTTCCTAGTAAATGAACATAGGTAGGCACACCCGTATGTTCCAAAACAAGCACAATATGGGGAGGACAAACTTGCACATGTCCACTAAAATCTCAAAACAGGTTTTATTCTTTGCATCTTTTTCCAGACATTGCCAAGCAAGGCTCTTCTCAAGGAAAAGTCGGCCTTTCTCATACTGCAGTCGTAAGAGTTAAGTAATGGAGTTATTTCTCTCACCACATGAGTTACTTAACCTCTGAAAAAGGATACCTCACTATAAGGAAAAAAAGATCAGAAGGCTGATTCTAGTACAAGTCTGGATACAGTCACAATTATCTGCACAATCATTGTAGCAACAAAGAGGGTTTCTGCAATTTATTCCTGCTGGTTATAACGACATAGGACTAGAGGCATATGTACTTCGAACCACATCTTTGGAGAACTGGAGAAGCACTTCACTGGCTGAAACCAAAGGCCCATCTAGTCAGCATTCTGGCCAACCAGTTGCTTATGAGGCACTTACAAGCATCAGCAGAAACAGCACCACACAGGCACACACACACATTGTTTGGTCTCCTCAGCAATCAATATACAGAGGCATATATGGAAATATATGCATTATTTTTCAGTAGAAAGTATTCCACAGCCTAGCTCAAGAATGCTGGAGTTATATTGCAGTACAACCTTGTAAACAAGCACACAAAGATTACTAGCCTCCAACGTTTTTTATTTTGTTCTTTACTAGCCAGTTGTCATCTGGTCAAGGAAGGATGAGGAATTCTGTTGCTACTGCAGAATCTCCTTGACCTTCCTGGCTGGGTGCTGAGAAAGAGGACAGCATTCCACCCCTTCCCCACTCTTCAATCACCCACAGGCAATTTCTGCCCGCTTAACCTACTAAGTTACTGCTTGCATTGAAGACTGATGTAGTATGATGCAGACACGAAACTCGAAAAACAGACACTAAGCTGTAAAACAGTCAACAAAAGTGCTGGGGCACCTTGCAGGGGGACTGCTGGATTTAGTTATCTGACTGCAGAGCCAGAGGTTGGGAGTTCGGTTCCCCACTGAGTCCCAAAGGCTGGACTCAATAATCCATAGGATCCCTTCCAGCTCTGCAGTCATTATGATGATGATGATGATGATGATGATGATGATGATGATGATGATGATGATATCATCCTACTGGACAGAAGCTGCCACTGGCAACAGCCTCCTGCTTCAGAAGCCAAGCTGTTGCTAACTGAAGCTTGTGCCACATAATAAGCCAGTTGGTTTCTTGACTATCATAGCATTTCGGTTCAGCTAGTTGCCACGTCACATCACAGATTACTGGCTATTTTGTGTCACTAAGTTAATGGGAAACCTCACCAATGAATGTGGATTAAATCAAAATACAAACAAACAAACAAACAAACCAGCTTTTCTCACTCTAAATCATAGTTGAGCAGAAAATTCTCCAAGGAATTTTTTTTCACTCAAACATTGCTCAGATTAGGAAAGGAACTACCTTCATTAAAATCAAATCTTGCTTAACTTTACATTTCTTGTCTGTACTGGTTCTAGCTGCCAGAACCCAGTCCTACCACCATCACTCCCCTTCCAGCCACATCCAGGTAGAGCTTCAAAGTGGTACTTGTATGGACTACACCCTCAAAACTCATCCATCAAGTACAGTATGTGGCCATGGCTGATGGAGGATTCTGAGGATTTTCAAGCTCTGCATCGCATGTCAGACTAAGTCCAGGAAGCATGCCCTTCACTCTGGTTGAGCTTCAGAAGTCATGACATAGATAAAGATTGTTGACTAACTGGCACTATCACAAGTTGAAAACCAAGGGAATACCATATTTTCTGCCCATCTTTTGCATCACTAGAGGCAGTGGGAGCAGCAGCAATGAAGTGCATAACCACCACCACCGCTGTAAATGAAATCGAGTGTTTATTTTTTGTGATTTATGCACAATATTAAAAAGGTTAGTTTTAATGTGGGGGAAAAAAAACAATTTTAGTTCAGTGCTGTTCCACTCTTGAGAGTATGAGGCCTTTCAACATGTAACTCCAACTTCCATAATCAACATTACAAATAAAGAATAGACAATAAAAATGGTCACGTCGTAGCAGTTCTATATGAATTAGGAACATATTTTTGTGGATTTGATGTTGCTCCCTTCCTTTCCTTCACATTCAGGCTAGATTAGCTCACAGGAAGTAGCCCCAGACTGTTGAAAATAAGGCTTATAAAATAAACCTTTTGGACATAATCTTCTTTTAGGTAAAGCTCTTAATACCAAGTGTTGCTTTAAGAAACCAAAACTGCTGGATATCTGTCATAAAACAGCTACAGTCCATATATCTACATCCAGACCATGATCTTACTGACATGAATTTTAGTCAGCTTTAAAAGCTTCACAATTCTCAGGGGGGAAAATGCAGAGAGTTTTCTGTAAGAAACCAGATCAAACATAACTGCTTTGCTGTCAACCACTGTACTAGCTAGGGAGTGGATACAAAGACTGTACTGTACGAGGTAAAGATATGAGTAATTTCCTCTTTTCCCTCCCCCTTTCGACAGCCCCTTTGCCCACAAAAAGTCTCTCCAGATGGTTGGGTGGGGGCAGAGGGACCCCCAACAGCCCTGGTTCTGTCTCCAATGTGCATCTATATGTTGTAGTAGAAAGAGAAATTGCCCCAAACTGGCAAAAGAACTTTATGCCACCCAGAATGTTGGAAACGTTCAACCTTGAACAAGCATCAAAGTATAGCAACTACTACTTATTTCCTCACAGTTAAAAAGAAATGATATAACAGACCTTGGATTTTCTCATTCAGTCAGTAAACATGGGCCTTTTCATTCAAATGAATTAGAACAGCCATAATATGGGTAATTTCATTCACTTCAGCACTGTTCATTTTGTTATATGTCAGCTTCTCTGAATCCAGAAATGCCCTCTGGATTCATTGGCCTACCTATTTTTTAACTATATGAGGAAGATTCAATTCGGATGCCTCCTTCAAGGGTTTGGAGGTTGGTGGGGTGTTTCAAGAGGGGCCGGTGTGATGTACTTTTATTGTAGACTGCTCTACATGTGACCAACTAACTAATTTTCTTTAGAAAAACTGAGTCATCCTCTTCTAGACCATTTTCTTGAAATGCTCTTACGTCCTTTATTGTACATAATGTACTACCTTCTCTCTGTGTGCTACCTTTGTTTGAAGTAATTCCTAAAATAATCACTCACAACTGCAACAAAATATTTCCACTCCACAGATGTGTGTATGGAAAGGAGGCAATTTTCAGGATCATTAGTTAATAGTACTTAACACCCACAAAGTTAAAAACAATTTCTAAGGCAATGAAGTGGCCCATGGTGCACAGTCTGTGGATTTAAAAAGGAGACCCATTTTGTTTAAAAACATTTCTGGGTTCAAGCCTTCTGACAAAATGTGAAATCTTACAATAACTTTCCTCAGTCCTCCGTGAGGTTTAAAACACCTCCTCCTGAATTCCATTCTAAGGAAAATTGCCCACTCTGTTGAGTCTAAACTGGGTATCGGGATTTACCTAAGACTACTCTTGCCCAGGCTGAAATTCATGCCAGCATTGTGGTTGTGTCTATAGGCTGGATGAGATTTCAACGTAACACAACTTGGTTGTTCCCTTGCCCCATCCCTTGTGACAGTGCCTTCTTTGCCTGAATAACCCGGTTAATTCTGCCTAATCAGTAGGACGAATTTCCTGATAGTATAATCTGGCTTTACAGTGAAAAGCAAACTGGGGAGTAACTGACTCATCTTTACTTCAGGTTTTAAAGCAGAGCCCAGGAAACCTCCAACAGGGTTGCTGCAAGAAGGACTTTCCTGCATGGTGGAGGTTGGATTTCATTGCCTTTGAGGTACCTTGAGAAATAGTTTTAACCATGGGCAACTTTTGACAGATCAGATCAATTAATTGCCAACACGTATTAACTGATCAAATGTTTTTTCCATGTTATCCATGCTGCATCCATAATTAATGTGGTTATTAATTAGTTATGATTGCGTAAACAGAGTATGAGTCTTTGCATAAGGCATCCTATATGTATAGGATAAGAAACCAGGGGAAGAGGCCCAAGTGCTTGCAGAATAAAGAAAATTGCAGGGAAGAACTCACTTCTGCATTGCAATATTAGCAAGACTTCAAGAAAGTAGCTGATATGTCACCTGGCTGACTGAAGCCTTGCAGAAAGGAGACTAAATGATACTGGCAGCCAGTATTTGAAGTCTCAGCTATTCTGGTTAAGAGACCGCACCAAATCCTTTGTACTCAGGTCTATGATTCAGAGGTCAAATTCAGGCACAAACAGCACTCAAGAGTACTATTTCTGCGCCTGGAGAAACGATTTGTATGCAACATGGGTCACAGGGCTCCATAAAAATGTCACCTTGAAATTAGTCTACTAAGATACATTATATGGCCTCCAATGAAAGGTCATTCAAAGAACTTACACTAGCACCTCAGTTCTCTTTGATCTAATTATACTTGGCTTCCCTGTAATCATCTGCGTCACAATGCTAGCATTGTTTTTTTTTTTAAATCTCATCTGAGCTTCATGAATGGCCTTAAAAATATATACAAGCAGAAGGATATCAATGTCAGAAAATACCAACAGAATGTATCCAAATATATTGAGTAATAGTTTTGTAGCGCAAGAACTTCCAACATATTGATTAACCTTAATAATACTATATATACACACAGTGAGTCAGATGGTATGAAAAAATGTTTATT